TGTAATGCAACAACATTTTGGGTCGATTTAGTTATTACCTTTTCTACTTGCTTTTTGAGTCAGCAGCAGAAGGTCAAAATCTCATTCGATTTCAAAGAGAAACCAGTTTAGGACAAATCGTCCAGGAATCGAAACAGTTGAATATTACATCACATGAACCAATGTCACGAGTAACAAACATAAGTTTCGAATTTTTAGTCTGTGTTTGATTACCAAAGTAAACTTTTCAATAAAAGAGAGGAAACACTCCATTATGAAGTATATGATATTTTTTAAATTTCTTAATTTCTTTCCTTTTCTTCTTACATTCATATGAAACAATCATGATCGAATATGCGTTACATGTGAACTTCTCCAAGTAGCTTTGGAATAAAGTACAAATAAGAAGCGAATGAGAGGCAATAATTGAATTACAATATATATCTTTATGTTTAGGTTACATAACGAGAAATGAAATACCTGTTTTCAGCAGAAGCTAACCGATCAAGCAAGTCATTCAATTCCTTGATGGTGAGTCCCCCGGAAGCCGTGCCTTGCCTACGCTGCAAAACCTCAGCGGCAACAAGTGCGAAGTTTCCAGCATTGGCACCGGTGTTGGCGCCACCCTTGCGCCAATTGATAAGACGCAGAGCGTCGGGAGAGTCCCTGGACATGCCGAGAGAGTCGATAAGGCAGACTGCGAGCACAGACTCCTTGAGGCCGTAAGTGCCACGCTCACGGTCGAGAGAGGGAAGAATAAGCCTCATGGCGCTGAAGTAATCGGAAGGCTTGCAAAAGGTGTCGAGGAATTTTCGAAACTTGTACCGCTTCTTCGCTGATGGTCGGCTCCTCTGGATCCATGTGAACAGGCTCACGACCACACTCAACTTAACTTCCTCTGTCATTTTTTTCTTTTGGGATTTTCTTCTGCAGTTAGATGATGAAATAGAGAGCGCTTTCTACTTCGGAAATTTGAAACCACTGCTGCACTTGCGTTTGCTTCAATAGCTTGCAAAGGAAGGACAAAGAAGCATCGAGCCACGCCACCGTTTTAAAAACAAAGGACAAATTATGAGTTTGGTACTCTGTTCAAATTGAGAATTTACGGCTAGGGCCTCCAAACCAATTTGTTTTTCGGTTCACAAACTAAAAACTAACAATTATTTGCATTCAATGCAATTTTATTTCTTATCAATTTAAAATTAAATCTTTATTTGGGTAAAAGTACATTTACTCACTAAATTACAAGCCATTAAAATTTTAAGTCTAAAATAATAATTAAAATTTTAAAATAATTATAAAAAAATACACTCCATAAACATAAAAATTCAAATCCAAGATCTTAAGAGAACACAATAATCATTGAAATCATTCAATGGATTATTATTTACTTTATATTTTATTGTATTACAAATAAAATTTATATATAGAATTAATAATAATTTTAAAGTATTAGATATATAAAAAGCATTTAAAAAAAGTCAAAGACGAATAATCCAAACTACTAAAGTTTATTTTGATTAACTTTAATATTTCGGTTCAATTTCAAATCGATTTTCAGAAGGTCAGCTAACTCCACAATAACATCAATTTTTCCTCTTTCTAAAACCGATTCGGAACGAACCTTTATGGTCGGTTTATTAGAAGGTCGTAGTTATTCTACTTGTAAATCAAATGAATAATGTTTTATTTCTAGTGTTGTTAAATATCTATAGAAAATTAAATTAACCATATGTAATAAATTTATTATAAATAAGTACTAATATTTAATATTGTGCATGACAGGTTCTAAAATCCTCCTGAGTCAAAACTCAATCTTAAGCCCAAGCTTTGATGGATATCGAGCATCCTGCCGAAGGATTGAAGAATTATATACGAGATTTTGTAAAGGCTGGTGGTGAATGAAGTTACAATGGAGAAGAGATGTTGCAATTAAGCTGTTAAGAGTACCAGCGATTGCACGGGTGTTGGACTTAAGATTCGGCGACTCAAAAAAATCTGGTTGAATAACTTAGAGCAAAGCGGAGCATGTCATAAACCAGTGGTCTTGACGTCATAAGCAGAGGAAGATTCGGTTGGAAAGTGCATTCGTTTGGAATTACTCTGCAAACCGGAAATGCTGTCGAGTGACACACTCAGCTTCATTATCAAGTAAAAGAGAAATGTTGTAACCATAGTAAGATTGATTCTCAACTATCTACATCGACATTAACCATCAAGCAAAATAAAAAAGAAACGAACACTTTTAATCAAATCAACAGAAAGCAGCAACGCATACCATACCAAACATTAAATTGTGTTTCCATGGTAGTTCTTTCACTCATATAAAAGGAAAAATGTATCTTTATTTTTGCATTGATTAAGACAGCATCTTCCTGCTATAGTACTCGGAAATTACAACCAAAAGCATCAAGCAAATCCAATTGTCGCAGTATCAACACAAGATGGACACAACAGAACCCGTACCATCATTAAGCTGCAAAAAATAGATTGTGAAATCATTAATATTTGTAACATATGCCAGAATAAATTTAATATAAGTATTCAGATATTAAGCATGGTTATGTTTCACAACAGTAGGTACTTGTTATAGTCTTAATACACAATTTAGCCCCCAAGCTATACCCATTCTCTGACTTTAGTACCCAAACTTCTTTTTTTTTTGTTAGCTTTGCTATTAAACTATCATTCCATCCCAGTTTACCTCAAAAGGTTAACAACACTAAAAAAAGCTGACAACCAACCAATAAGAACATGAGACCTGGAAAATGAAGTCATCCAATGCAAGGATAAAACAAATGTGAGACGTATTGTTATTGGCTAGCATTGCTACTTTTTTAACGATATTAATATTAGGGTAAGCTGGGACGCAAGAAGGGACGGAGCTAGGATTCCAACTTAAGAGGGGCAAAATATGATTAACCATAAAAAATGAGGGGGGAAATCAAAATAAACTAAATTTTGGAGTCCTAATTTAATATTTTCCGATTTTTTTAATAATAAAAAATGGGGGGGGTGGAGGCAGTGCGCCCCCTCGGTGAAGCATAGGTTCATCCCTGGACGGAAGCATAGTTTAAGTATCAAAACGAACCAAAAAGGTTTATGTACCAAAGTGGGAAAAGGGATAATGCGAGAGCTAAATCATGAATAAAACCTTTATTATACTACATGAAGATAATAAAGCTAAGTGTAAAATAGGACAACTAAGAAACAAGTCAATTACCAAACCCATTTATCAAATATATATATGCGTGTGATAAACAAATTAAAAAAGACATAACTTCATCGAGTAACGGAGAAAATTTATGGTTTTGGTATGGAGACAAAGTTGAATGGCATTATGGTTATATAATAACACCAGCACACCAATCAGTTTATTTTATTTTATGAAAATGGCAAATGAGAACAGCATAACACCATTTAATAAACCAACTTCCCATATTTTTAGGCATAGACGTTAGACATACACATGAGGGAATAATCATCTTCTAGAGATGGAATTCATCTCCTACGCTACCAATTTCACACACGGCTTCAAATAAGTTTTCTATCACCACCCTTGTCATTGCCCATTGCCCCGAAAGAAAAAAAGCAGGGAAAAAAGAACCTATAACACAAATATTTATCACTCGAACTTGAACATGGCCCTTATGACCGAATTTGTCAAATAAATGTGATTGCATTGCAAACACTACAAATGTGTGGAACATAGAAGCTTCGCACTGCAATTTAAATTCCAAGAAATGTATTAAATGTCATCTTCTCATATCAGCCATGATATTTCCCTCTATCATTGTTAAGAAACTTATCTGGTCAGCATAGGAAATAAGGATGTTGCGAATTCCAACTAAGTCTTATATAGTTTATGAAACATATAAATTGTCTACTAAACAACATTTGCTTAGCCTTTCTGCCAATGGGATAAGTAGATATCATATATTCATAAAAGACCAGTCCAAAAGCTCGATTACATCAGCACTCATGGAAATAAAGAATCCAAAATCAAATATACCCGCATTTCAACAAGGCTAAATGAATTCTCATTCTAAAAGACTATCCAGACTAATGAACCTCCCAAGAATTAAAAAAAACAAAAAAGAGATAAGGAGTACCTAGATGGGATCAGTGATGGCCATGTTGCTCGGCGTGCTGCTTGTGCTCGAGATGACGACGCTCGTTTGGAAGAGCGACAAGGTAAGAAAATATCATCCCACCGAAGCAGACATGGTAAAGAGGTTCGATGGAGTCTGTCTCGATGTATTTGGCTTGGTAATTGTCCAAGCCCCTCTGAACAGCTTTCTTCACGTAACCAACAGATAGCATCGGCTTGACATAGCTCGGAACTTCCTTCAGTTTCATCCCTTTTATCTCGTATAAACTTTTCTCATTGCCATTTTCCCAATTTCAATCAAACCCTAGTTACCCTTTTTGGGTTCTCCACGTCGCGTGCGGAGATCTAAACAACTTCAAGAAAAATGGGGATGACTTCAGAAGAGACTGAGATTGTCGTTTTAAAACAGTAAAACGAAGGCTTAAGGCTCAGTTGGATTCAAGCCTTTTCACATTGGGCCAGTCTGCTTGGCTTTTCATATTTTTTCTCTCTAAATAATAGTGTATTAAAAATTGTTGAATTTTAAGAATATTAGAATTTTCAAGTATAAAAAGTGGACAGTACTTTTTAGGTAATTTTATTAGAATAATTTTTTTAATTCTTTTCACTCAAATAATTTTACTGACGAAAATACCATTCTTTTAACAATTGTGTATTTTCTAAAATAGTATTTTTTTGTACTTTAATGATTATATATAAATAAGAAAATACAGTTTTTTTTAGGGAAAAAAAGCAACAATGCGGCAAATTTAGCAGAAAATTTACATAATACGTGGCATGTCGCTATTGGCAAAACAGCACAACATAAATACGTGGCATGTTGCTATTGGCAAAAACAGCACAACATAGATAATAACAAAGTAAATAACAATTCGAAACCATTTAAAAGAAAAATGAACTCGAGGAGAAGAAAGAGTCGTGTAATATTGATCGGACAAATTATTAGTGCTTGAAACTTAAACAATCGAGGTGATTTGAATTTCATTCCCCTTCGTAATGGCTGAAGAATCTCAAACGGCGCCATCTAGCTCACAACCAAGATCCTCCGTTAACACTGCAAAAATATCCCAGGTTTTCATCTTCAATTCGCATTCTTCTTTTAATGATTTTCCCTACAATTCAATTGTTTTTTATTAGCTTTTTGGTAGGTTGGGAAGAATAATTTTTTTTCAATTACCTTCGGGGAACTTCGATGTATTATGGTGTTGAACTTTTCTAGGTATTTCTTAGCTACCCCATTTTAGTCGATATGAAATATTGGGTTTTGCATTGTAGTTGATATGGAATGATGGTTTTGATTTACCTAATGTCTATGCATTACGAGATCTGAATTTTAGCTGTATCTCCTGGCAAATCATTGGCTGATGATATCATATGTTTATGTTAAAATTAATTTTTTACTACAATAAATTTGATTATTATTATTAATATGTTATATTCCTGAAAGTTGTTAGTTTTTCTAAATCATATGTTTTTGTTAGGCATTTATTTTTCAGATAGTCATTAATTGAATTCATGCTCGTCAAAATGAACTTTTCTTTTTTATCGTAAGTGTTTTTCCCTTAAGAATTAAAATGATCAAACAATTTTATTTATGTATGTGGGTTTTTTGTGTGGATAATAATAATGCGGATATTGTGTTTGATAGATGTTCAGAGAATGATTTAATAATTCTTTTGAGGATTCTATATGTCTGGAGTTTCCTTTTCATGAGAGGGTACATTTGGGGACTGTTTTACCTAAACCAACTATAAAGCACTTTTACCAACTATATATATGCCTGGTGCTAATTTTAAAGATGTTCAGCAGTAGTTACTCAAAAAAAAAAAAACGAAACAAAACAAAAGAGACTTTGCTCTCTTTGCTTGAAAATTCATGCATCTTATCTATGCTGTTAGGGATATGCATTCCTTCATTTGGTGGACCATCAGATGCAAATCTTTTGGTTTTTTATTTTTATTTTTAGCAATGGGATTCATCATGTTATAGCTGGGTAAACAAAATGGACTCTATCAAGCAATCCTTTTTATGTCGAGAGAGAGAGTTCACTCGTAAGATGATATAGACCCTAATATTTTCTGGACAAGCAATAGAATAGTATAAATTAACAAAATTAAGTCTAAATTGAATCCAGTTAGCTCCTGTGTTGTCCTATTTGGTGAATGCTAAAATTTGTAAATGGGAGTTCTGTTATGTTATTTTTCTTCACTTGTGCTTTGTGTATATAATTTTCTTTTCTTCACTCTTAGTTTCTATATGGCTTTTATGTCTTAGGTTCCTGGATACTTTGGTGTTCCAGCTTTTCAAAATGGTGATTTTCAGATGTTTCCGGTTATGTATCCTGCAATTGTCCCAGGTTTAACTTTACAAAATCAGGAACAGATTAACCGTGGAGCAGGCATATATGCTGTTCCTGTTCAACCATTTATGGGACATATTGCTGGAATTCCATCTAACAATCTCATTCCCCTCACCTATAACATACCTACGTAAGTAAATATGTAGCTTGTATGTTTCTGTTGTTTATGTTTGTTCTGTAAAATGAAGATTCCCACCTGCCATTCTGTTGGATTAGGGTTGAGCACCTGTAAGTGATATCCTATACAATTTACTAGTTCATCCAACTTCTAGCACCAAATCTAGGTCTTCAGTTCAATTCTTTATAAATGTTGGTGGATTTCATTAGATTTGCTCTACACGTGAAGGATATTGATATAGATAGAGTGCTATGACACAAAAGTACTTAAGCAAACATTTAGTTAACTCTAGATCATTTTCAGTTGGGGAATTGCTACGATGATGCATATTTTTATGGTAAAAAGGATTGCAAGTAAAAGTTTGTCATTGATTGCTTTTTATCTTACTTTGTTGCATGGTTTCTATTAACAGACGGTCTGTGACGGAGGCAGGGACTGCAGTTGAGGAGCAAGGGCAAGGAGCACAACCCCAACATCAACAGCAGCAGGTAGGACCCCAAAGACAGGTTGTTGTCAGGAGATTCCAAATTGCATTTCAGCTGGATTTGTTGCTTATACTTAAGCTAGCAGCTGTAATATTTTTGTTCAACCAAGATGGATCAAGACAGAGGCTGGCTGTCCTTGTGTTCTTTGCTTCACTAGTCTATTTGTAAGTTCTGAACTTCTGATTGTTTTGATTTAACACTTGCTCTGCTCATCGGAACTGCTATTTTCCTGATTATTTAGTTTTAGCTAAGATACAAGTCCAGACTCCTGCTTTTGACCACTTTGTACGTTGGGTTGCTGTGTCTTGATGTCTCCCTGTGTATTATTAAGGGTCAAGAAGACATATTTTTGCTGTTGAATGGAGAAGGTGTGAGTTTTTCTTTGAAAGAATTTGGGTCATTTCTTTGGATGGTTGGTGAAAGAGGGGGCATTTCTATCATTGGAATCACATATACTTCACTAATGGCGTTAGAGTTTAGACTAATAAGTGGGGAGCTCTAGTTTTTCTCAAATAATTATGGGTGATTCGTTTTTTCCACTAACCTTTCACTTCACATTTTTTTCAGATGAGATAAACGATGACATTTGTTTTGTGCAGTATTCTAAATTCTAAAGTTAGTCGATATTTTCTGTTTACATTGGTTTCTTGCAGATATCAAACTGGAGCTCTCACACCATTGATAAGATGGCTTTCCCAAGGCATGCAGAGGGCAGCCGCACCTCCTCATCCACCTAGGCCTGCTGCTAGAGCAGAGAATGTTCCTGCTGCTGGAAGGCAAGGCAATGAAAACGTGGCTTTGGCAGGTATTGTTTTTAATGTTTATTTTTTGTGAATTGAAATTCATTCAGCCTTCTATTCATATTTTTTCCCATGCGTGATTGTGGGTATTTAAGCATTGCATCAGGAATTAAACTTAATTACTTGCATTTGTTTATACAGTTTTTGCAACAACATATACTATCTAGATATTAGTATATAATAAATTCTTGAGCCTTTGTATGATAAAGCAGATGATAATTTCCAAAATTAGGCTGTGATTTCATCAATTTGTCCATTGTTGTGATTTGTGATTACAAGCCATTGGCTTTATTGAATCCTGCATCAGTACAGAAAGCCATGTTTCTTTGGATTTGAAAGAGCTACATGATGTGTACCAAATAAAAATGAAGTGAAAAATAAGAGTTGTGCAGTAAGGAAAGCAAAGCTTTAGAGTTCTCTTTGAGGCCCGACCTTTGGAGATTTTATTAAAATTCAACTTACTCAAAATGTGCAGCTGCTTCTTTTATAGCGTCGATCTATTTCCAAGATAATTATCATTTTTATTTTATGTTACTCGAACTCAGGTGTGTGCTGGATTCAAGTATGTATCTGGCTTGGACATGTGTAGTTTTTCTTAAGATTTTCCTTGTATTTGTAGGATTCTTCAGGAGTCGTATCCCTAGTGTCCAGATAGCATTGGACATAAGTACTTTAATAAAAATGAAGAATCAGATTATTCTAGGTAGTAACTAAGATAAATCATTTAACAATAAGCAATAAAGTTAAATTCTAAGTAAACTTCCTAGTTAGGCATTCAATCTAGCAACTACCAACTAAACTTAGGGTCTATTTGTTTGGCTATAATTGGTTTTCTGAAATTGAATTCTAGAAAATGAATTACATTTCTGGTTAAAAATTATTTATTACAAATATTAAATATAATAAATAATATTATTTATCATAAAACTTAAATATTATTTTTATAATTTTATTAATAAAAATATTAGTATTGGCATATTTTATTGAAATAAAAATATTATAAATTATATTAATTATTTATTAAAGTAATAGTGTTATATTATATTTTAAAAATATTAATTAGTATATTTTAAATATCTTTATTAAAATAAAAATATAATATCTTATATTATTATAATATAATTGATTATTTTATTATAATATTAAAAATATAATATTATATTATTATAAATATTAATAAATAAATTTTAAATATTTTAATAATTAATATTTTGATTAAAATGATATTAAAATATTTTATTAATATTAAATTCATAAAATAAAATTATTTTGAGTATTTATTCTTTGAAGTGAAAAGTTCGGAAAATGACTTACGGAAAATCAGACCGTAAGTCATTTTCCAGAAAACACAGGAAATTTTATTGACTAGGAAAATGTTTTACGTTGAACAACCGTTTTCCTCCAACTAAACATTTTCCGGAAAACGAATTACGTAAACAAACATGGGCAAGTTTATACAACAAAATCCGTCTTCTTGATGGACACTAACCTTCCACTGCTTTATATGCAAGCTAAACATAGATTTTACCATGTAGTATCGCAGTTGTTGATTCTGGTATGCTGAAACTTGATGTGATATTTGATTATGGTTCTGTATATTTGTTTCTGTTTAACATCTTGGATGTGTGAAACAAGCAGGAGAAGAGAATGAGAACCGGCCTGCAGGTGATGGTAATCAGGCGGTTGAGAATGAGAATGAAGCAGACCCTGCTTTAGGAAATGCTGGCAATCAGTGGTGGGGAATTGTTAAGGAAATCCAGATGATTGTTTTCGGCTTCATCACGTCTCTTCTTCCGGGCTTCCACAACATAGATTAGGTCATACTTTACAGAACCAATGATCTTTTCCTTCTAATTCTTATAAGAAAAAGGAAAAGCATAAACCGATGTTTATATAGGTAAGTATACTCGAACAGATTCGGTGCAGTCGTTGTATGGTGCTCGGGAGCCCCACTGCATCTGCAAGAAGCCTTTCTGTTTTATTTACAAACCAGCATGCTTTATGTAGTTGTTTGGCACATGAAGTTGATAGGATACTTGAAATTGTATGCCAACTGGAATGCGGATTTCTTTGTAATGCAGACATGGAATGAGTGGCTGACTTCATTTATGGGTTTTGTTATCTTGACAGAGTTTTGGGTCATTTCTCTCGTTACTTGACATTTATTATTTATTGGAGATAATTGCATAGGAGGGCCCCAAACTATGACCTCTGTTTTAAATTGATCTTTAAATTCTAAAATGTTTTATATCAGTCTTCAAACTATAACACCATTCTAAATTGGTCTTCAAATTAAAAAACCTACTAGAAAATTAATAAACTCGTTGCAGTTCAATTTCCTCGTAAAGCTTTAAAAAATTTCAATAAATCACAACAGAAAAGTGCATGTACTCTTGAGGTGGTGTTTGGTTCGTTGTAATGTTTATGAGGGAATTAGAATTATTGAAATCTGAATCTAAAACCTGTTTGGTTGGCAGGAAATTGAATTGGAATCTAGTTTCATATTTTGTTTGGTTCGCAGACATGTCAGATGAATTTGATTTAAGTAATGTAAAATGATAGAATTACCCTTTTTATTTTTTGCTTAATTTTAGTTTTTTTATAACTTACATGTAGCAATATAATATAAAAATTTTAAAAATATTAAATTTTCATTTTATTGATTATTCATTTCAATAAATTATAAAAATCATACTAATAAACATCATAAGTTAAAATCATCCCAATTAGGGATGGCCATGGGTCGGGTTTTTGGTCCACCGACCCGACCAGAGAACAAGGGAACCTCCATCCGAGACCCAACCCGATCAAAATAAAGTTTCACCCGACCCGACCCGAATATATGAATTAAAAACTCAACCCGAAATAATAAAAAATTATTTTTATTCAATAAAAACAATGACTTAATTGAAAAAAATTATATATAGAGGGGTATTATTGTAATTATTCATAAATATATAAGGTAAAATTATATATTTTTTCGAGTCGGGTATTTTTCACCCTAAACCCTAACCCGACCCGAATATTACACTTAAAAAACCTCAAACTGAATATCAAACTTAAAAAAACCCGACCCGAACCCGAAATTTTAAAAAAATCCGACCTGATCCCGAATTTTTTTAAAAAAAAATCCGACCCGAATACTAAAAGATTGATGAGGATAGTATGGTCAAATTTCACATTCCTTCCTCCAAAGGATTTCATTTCCATCATTATGGATAAAATTTACTTTCCCTCCCTTGATGGAATTGTTCCCCTTTGAATTGAACCAAACATGGGAAAGTGGTAGAATTGGATTTCAATTCCCCCTAATTCCAAGGGATTCCAACGAACCAAACGCCACCTGATTCTCTCAGGCAGACTTCGATTATGATACATACAAGAGCCAATAAATCATGAAACCAACAAAATTTGTTTTATTAACATTAAAAAATGGTAATTACATAAGTATATACAGGTTACATTAAAATATTAAATGGAAAAAGAAACAAAAATATCTCACATCTCTGATAAAAGATTGCTCATCTTCCGAAGCTCCTTGAGAGCTGTAATGGCTGTAACTTGTCCTTTGCCAACTAGAATGTTTTTAGATAAATTGTCCAATGATCCTACTTGACCTTGATTTTGCTGGAAAACTGACTCCAGAACCTGCCAATCAAAACACGACCGTTCAGAGATTCCATGGAAGTAAATGAAATAAAGAAATCACCAAGCTTCATTTAACATTAGTTTCGGGTTTTAATGACGCGTATTCAGGTTTTTGTTTCTTTAAATTCTCTCCTCAGACTGTTCTATTCGCCTATGAACATTTTCCTTCAACGGTTTCAAGCTCGGAACCACCAGAGTATACCTGGATGTGGTCGAGCATAGCCTGCCCAAGATTCTTCAATGTTCCCATCATATTCTGGTCCATAGTATCACCTTTGCTAGTGGGATGTGAGTTACAAGAAGCACCGGCAACAGATGAGTCTGCTGTACTGTGCTTACTATCATGAAGTAGAGGTTTTGCAGCCTCATTGGTACCTCCACGTTTATCGGATGTCTCCTCACAGACATTGCTCCGTCCAAACTTCCAAAACCACTGGAATTTACCTGAAAGAATCCTGCTCTCTTTCATAGATGAGGTCTTCCCTGAATATTCATTCTCATGCAGAGGACTTAGAGAGACATCATCGGAAGGAAGGGAAACCCAAGGCGGTAAATCTTCTGGGCTCCACCCCCGGAGATCACCATTATCATCTACGGATAAATTTGATGCAGGACTACTCTTTTCAGTGTCAATTTCATGGTCAATAATGCTACAACCAGGAGGGGTCGGAGGGTCGGGAAAAAAAGATTTCTCTTCACTTACAACAGCTCCACTTCCATTCTCACATCTATCCTCTGTCGTGGAAATAGACCCTTTGTTAGCAGAATTTTGTCCTTCCCCCTGAACCTCTACAGAATGATGATCCTCTAAATTAGAAGCCTCGAAACAATCTCCCTTTTCAGCAGAATCCTCCAAGCTGAGCTGCTTAGTCAAATCTTCAAGCAAACTACGCCTAACAGAGTGATGCTCCTTTTTGCATCTTTCATTTCTTGCAGGTGATGGGGCAGATTCAGTTCTACTAAGGCGAAACTTTATTCTTTCAGCCCATCTCTTTTTCCCACTTGGAGTATTATTTCCTAAACTATTTTGCCTTGGTTCCTCTGCCTTATGCAGTACTCTCCACTTTTCTTCCCAGTAGCTGTCAGGCAGCAGGCTTCGAATGGTTTTTGGAGAACCTAAACCAGATGGAACATTGTGACTGATCATTGGAGATTTCGAGCACTTATAAACTCCACCAAATGCAGACAACAATGGCGCTTTGTTAGATTCCAATGCAAGAATTTGCAGTGACTTTGCCTTCTCTATAAGTTTTTTCAGATTTATACTCTCCGGAAATTTCAGGAGTCTCTGAAGACAAGAAGTTGCAGTTTCAGTGGCAAGCAAGGAAGATCTCAGATAAAGTATCATAGAGACTGCCATAGCAGAAATTAATCCTCCACGGCATGAATCGATTAGTTTAAAACTGAAATAGTCACTGTCTTCAGAAACTTTATTAAGTGGGTTATTATCTTCTGAGAAAATCTCATCCCATATAACTAAGAGATTTTGAAGTGAAAATTCCCGTCCAAATAAAACCCGCAACCACCGAAGAGCAAAATACTGTGGTTCAACACCAAGCTCAACAAGATGGGAATGCAGAGATGAATCGACGATTGACAGTAAATGATATAGTGCAGCTGAGGCTTCAATGACAGGGGGCAAGCCACTTTGGGACTCGGCTGCAGGAGAGGAAGCAAAAAAATCGGCCATAGCAACTGAACCTCGTGCACCAATCATCAGAGCATCAAACATACAGTAGGCATCATGTTCCATAAATTTCTCAGACAAGACAATACCAAGTTCACCTTCAGCTCCATAAGCATCACTTAGCAAGACAATGGCCTGTATCTCAGGATCAAGATCATAAAGACTGCAGACTTTCTTTGCATTGCCTTGAGATCCAATCTCATCTTCCACAGAATCTGAAAACTTCTTAAAATCAAAATTGTAAGAGTCACCATTTTCTTCAAATGGGAATCCATCAAATTTGTCAATAAACTGGTCTTCATATAGCTTCCGCACTTCTGAAAGACGCTCAACATCAATATGAAGAACATAAGCAGAGGAGCCAAGAGTTCATGCATTCCTACAAATAATAGTAAAGAGTTAAAAAGTTAATAGATCCAGGATATTGTGTTCTAAATCCAGTGGTTTTTCATTGCCTTTGCCTACTACAAAATAAAAATTGAATTACTAACTCTAACTAGCCTTCACTACATAACCACAACCATATAACTTTTATGTCTTAAACATTAGGACTCAAACCCTTGAAAACAAAGTCAATATTTAGTAGTGCAAGGCATTGTTCCTTTAATTTTTCAAAATCTACAATGAGGTAACATGAAAAATAATAAAACGTGTGCAAAGCGGTTAACAAAATACCTTGTCTATAACTGCACTCTGGGTATCTAAGGCACCACAGCAACAATATTCGTCTCAGCATTCCCTGGCAACCAGGTGTCTGGAAGTAGCTTTCATGCTCCGGATATAATCGTGATAAATCCTGGTTAACCATTTTTTCCAGCTCAGCATTCCGAAAGAATTGACTCCAGGTGCTGTCTGCATGAAGAATTAGCTATGGATTAAATATAGATCAAATGAAAAACACCTAAAATCCTAAAACAGGGGGAAACCACAATTAATTTCCTCATAGAAGAATATCCCAATCATTTAGGCAGGTCTAACTTTCCACCGACAAATAAGAGTTGCAATTCCTGACTTGAAAAACAACCAATCAGGATAGGGTATAATAGGAGGAAAAATTATTTGCCTCCTTTTTATGCAGCCGAAAGAGACAATGGACCAATAAACACTGTTCACACAAATTCAGCATCAATCAAGATAAGAAAGCAAGGTACAAACAACAGTACTAGATCAACAAAAACTGGTGAGCTAAAAATCAAAGCAATTCAGCAAAAGAAAGCAGAGAAATTAAAATTACCTGGGTTTTGTGAGAGTGGATTATCCATAACAAGATTGGGGGGATTGCTTGCTCCATTTTTGGGAACGTGTGGATCCACTAGCAGTTGCCTTCTCAAACCGGCATATCTGAATTCCCATAAAACCAGAGATTTGAGACTACAGCAGTTAGTTCTTAATTTCGAAAAATGTAAAACATAGAAATAAAAAGTGTAATAAGTGATTATTGTAATTTAATTAAGGGAATTAATCTGAACATGAAAAAAGGGAAAGGTTAAATCCCTTGAAAACTCGGAGACAAAAAGTTATCATTTTCTATAAAATTTAAGCTAGATTTAGCTGAAACAAAAAAATAATAAAAAACATATTTAAATTTATATATATATAAAGGATCGAGTTTTGGTAATCTGTACAATAAAAAGCTCAAAATTATAATTTCTCACTCGGGTGCTAAATTTTTCTTAGTTAAAAATGGAAAGGAAAAGATGAAAGGGCTACCTTCTGCGAGAATCAGCTGTTACCCTTCGAAGATCATCAATTGAAGATGAACGAGGTAAAATTCCGAGATTGATACGCCATTGGACGCCTCTAAGACTAGCAAAAGCTGGACTTTCAGACGCCTTTGCAATCTCTTTGCTCATTTCTTGCGATCAAAAACACAAAACAATTAGACAAAAAGAGAAACCGTTTACACCTGGATTTGTGAGACCAAAATCATTGAAACAAAAAAGGGAATTGTTTTCTGGAGCAATAACCAGCATTTGAATATCAATTTCTTTCTCTTTTCCCCATTTTAGAGTGGAAAGGAAAAATAATAATTGAATAGAGAGACATAAAATAGCAAGTTCGTTTGTTTGTTTATTACTCTACTTGTTAACCAACGCAAAATCCCATCGTTAAATCTAAGTTTTATTTATTTGTGAGTAAATTACGTTTTTCGTCACACAATTTTAATTACATTCTTGTTTTAATTATTAAATCTTTTTGAAATAATTTAATTTTTAATTATTTAATTTTCAAATTGTTTCATTTTCAATCACTCAACATTAAATAAGAAACAACATGATGGCACGAACTAATTTTTTGCTAGTGTTCTTGTTTTACTACTCACGTACAAAATTTCTCTTTTTTCTATTTTCATTTTTCAAAAATTTTAAAGTTTCATCTCTATCTCATATCATCGTTTTCATTGTCGTTTTTTGATATGTTTTTTCTAACTATTTCATATATCAATCAATTTGTATTGTCATCTCCTATCATTCTACTAATTTATATTTTTTTAAAATCTCTTTAAAATTTACGAAACTTCAACATAAATTCTAAAGAAAAACAATTTTGATTTATAATCTTCATCGTTTAATCATCATGAAATCATAAAATATTGTTTTTTTCTTTTTTTCTTTACCTCTCCACAGTTAAAATTTGTAAAATGTTATTTCCACATTAGAAAATTAAAGAGAATTTAAAAATTTAAGTTTAAATTTTAGTAAAATATTTGAAGTTAATTTCATAATTTAAAAAATTGTGGTATTTTCATATATTTTTAAAAGATTAAATTCCCTGTTATAACTTGCGAAATAATTAATGACAATGTTGGGAATAGAGTGATACTAAAAGTTAAACGATGAAATTAAAAATATAAAATTTAATAACCAAATAAGAATATGGTCAAAAGTTGAGTACTGAAGTCTAAACTTTAACCTTTGTTTATTTAATTATAGGAACCCATACTCAATTAATATTTATATATAAGACTAGAAAACAAAAGCACCACTTCATACTGTTACCCTCCACCGAAATTTCTCGGTGGACCCGGAAGCTCACCGTCCCATACTAGATGGAGCTCAAGCTGTTGGTATTACTTTTTGGAATTATGGTATATTTAACAAATAAATATTTTTTAAAACTAATTTCATATAATATCCATAATTAATTAAATAAACGATGATATAAGTTTAATATATTCATACTTAATTAAATAAACGATGATATAAGTTTAATATATTTATATTTTATTTTTTATAATTAAAATAATAAAAAATCAAATTAATATTTAATCAACTTTTATATTAAATTTTAAGTATTATAAACGAAATATTCATATTGTTTTACATTATGATCGACTCAATTTCTGATAGAAAAATTATTTGTAAGAGGATCATTAGGTCTCTTAAAAAGATTATCATCTTAAGTGGTGATCCAACACCATCAGCACTTAACGTCGCTAAGTCTTAAAAGAGTTAATCGTGTGGTTAAAATGTGATATTTGTTCAAATTTTTTTAATCAATATAGTAATAGAATTGATTTAAATAGATGAATGAACTTAAAATATTATACAATAATATTATTTTTTTATTTTTAATTTAAAAAGAAATAAGTATTTATTTTAATCTCAGTTATACATTTAGATTTATCAAATTATTATATTTTTATTTAAAATTAATTAATTTTGTATAACATAAAAGGATAACATCATATTTTTATTTAAAATTAATTATATAAAATATATAATTTTTTAAATGTTTGAACAGTTAAACAGATGATGGCCCAATTTATAGGTGTACAAAATGCTTGCATTGGAGGATCATCAACAAAGCCCAGCAATTCGACTCTACAACCATTAGCTCATTTACTCTTCACTTTTTCTTTTAATGTCAGTTAAATGTATATTTCTCCAAGGACTTCCGCCACCGCCACCGCCACCGCTACCGCTACCACGAGCTTCGTCCGACAACATTATAACTCTGGGTTCTGTCACAGATTCATCCATGGCGGATCAAATGCGGACCTTTTCATTCTCAGTCAGAGACCGAGATCACGAGAAACACGACGACGTGGAGGAGAGCAGGTGTGCTTTCCTTGTGGTAGCTCTCTTCCCTTGTTTAGTTTGCTTTATACTTCTCCTTATTATAGTCTCCGTCGTTTTAGTAGTCAAATTCCGTCTATTTTGCCACACTCCCCTTCATTCCGTAATTTACAAGAACAGATGCTAGTTCTAGATTTGAATCGTAGGTGTTTCTCTGGCATCACTGAAGGTGATACGGAGTCTGAAACCGAAATCGAATCCGATAGCTTCGAGTCTAGGTCGGACCCAAAGGAGGTTGAGAGAGTATGCAAGGTGATCGACGAATTGTTTGGCTTAGACCGAAACATGGAGGCTGTTTTAGATGAATGTGGGATTAATCTTACTCATGATTTGATCATTGATGTATTAGAACGGTTCCGGCATGCTCGGAAGCCGGCCTTTCGGTTTTTCTGTTGGGCCGGGCAAAAACCGGGGTTTGCGCATGATTCCAGGACTTATAACAAGATGATGGATGTTTTAGCAAAGAATAGGCAGTTCGAGACGATGTTGGCGATGCTTGAAGAGATGGGCGCTAGAGGGGTTTTGACGATGGGCACTTTTATTATTGCCATTAAAGCTTTTGCTGCCGCCAAAGAGAGGAAGAAAGCGGTTGGGATCTTTGATTTGATGAAGAAGTACAAATATGAAGCTGGTGTTGATACTGTTAATTGCTTGCTCGAGAGTCTCGGGAGGGCTAAGCTTGCGAAAGAGGCGCAAACACTTTTCGGGAAGTTGAGGGACCGGTTTACGCCCAATTTAAGTTCGTATACGATATTGCTTAATGGTTGGTGCAGGGTGAGGAATTTGATGGAAGCAGGAAGGGTTTGGAATGAGATGATCGATAAGGGTTTCGAGCCTGATATTGTCGCTCATAATGTTATGATTGAAGGGCTGTTGAGGAGTCGGAAGACATCTCACGCTGTGAAGTTGTTTGAGGTAATGAAAACTAAGGGGCCTTTGCCGAATGTTCGCAGCTATACGATCATGATTCGGGAATTTTGCAAGCAGGCAAGGATGGGTGAAGCGGTTCGATATTTTGAGGAGATGCATGATTCTGGATGTCCGCCCGATGCACCGGTTTACACATGTTTGATCACTGGTTTTGGAAATCAGAGAAGGATGGATACGGTTTACAGGTTATTGTTGGAGATGCAAGACAAGGGTTGTCCACCGGATGGTCATACATACAATGCCCTGATTAAACTGTTGACAACTCAACGAATGCCGGATGATGCGATGAGGGTATACAAGAAGATGATTCAGACCGGAATCCAACCAACAATTCACACTTTCAATATGATGATGAAATCATTCTTCCAGTCGAGGAACTATGACATGAGTTGTGCAATTTGGGACGAGATGACTAAAAAGGGGTTTTGCCCCGATGATATTTCGTACACTGTTTTCATCGGAGGGCTAATCCGTCTTGGTAGATCAGGAGAGGCATGTAGACTTTTAGTAGAAATGATAGGGAAAGGAATGAAAGCTCCTCAACTCGATTATGGAAAGTTTGTTGCTGATTTCTCTAGAGCTGGGAAACCCGCCATACTGGAGGAGTTGGCTCAAAAGATGAAGTTCTGTGGTAAGATTGAAGCCTCGGATATATTTACAAGATGCGCCGAGGCGATGAAGAAAAGGGTTAAGAGAAATGGTCCTTTTAAAACCGATGGAAGGTGTGTCTGACATGCTAATGAAGCGTTTTCGCTCTGGTTTTTTTTCTTCATTTGGCTCAATCGATCATACTGCAAATGACCTTTTATGGCATTGTAAATCATAATTTCCAGTTGTTGAATCCCGTATTTCTAGTGCTATTGGCTTAGTTTAGCTATTGGTCCTTGTATGCCGTTCAACTGTATTCCTTTTCCCCTTGTTGTGCAATAGATTTGATTGTTCTTTTTCATATTGTGGAACTCACTGTGAGGTCTATCCTTAATAAGGTCATTTATTTATCTTATTTGATTTTAATTACTAAATAAAGAAAATTAAGTTTTTGACCGAATCATGTGTGAGAATTGTTAATAATTCTTCAATTGATATTTATACCCACATTTTTTTAGTTTGAAGTAATTACAAGATAATATTTGTTCGAAAGATTTTCAATCATTTGAAAGAACGTTAGCTATGACTTTCATCATAGATTGGTCTCCAAATATTTTCAAATTATTAGCGTAAATTAATCACACTTCATTTAACAAAATCGTTAAGTCAAACTATGAGTCAAGTTGAAAAGAACAAGTTTCTGAATTGTGTTTTGCTTATAGTTAGTAGGCTTTTTGATTTAAACTCCCCCACCCCCATATATATATTTGGTTACAGCTTCGGTAGGAACTTCGATTTGCAGCCAAATACTCAGATCCGTAAGGAATTGTTTCCCCAGGTTGCATCTTTCTGACCTTTCATTTATATTTTTTTTCTGTGTATTACTTTGCTTTGTAGTTTTTGTTTTTGTTTGGAGATCTTGCAGTTTTTCTCAAGCTTCATTCCAGATTTCGACAGATCTTTCTTGCTACTAGCATTTATATTTTCATTCTTTGTTTTTTCTCCCATCTGAGAACTAGATTTTGTTATTATTTAGTTCAACGCCGCAACCTTTTGCTTTTGTTAGATCTTCCTAGCTTTTGCTGGATAAAGTAACGTCGTCTCATCGAAGAGAGCTAGAGATCCAGAAAGTTAAGGGGGAAAAAAGTGCGACTTGAAAACGAATTTTGCAACAATCTGGTGCTAATATCTTTGCATATCCCAAGATCTACTTTCTCAGCCATCTTATTCTCGTTTACCGGTTGCTTTTAGATTTAAAATTCATCACTGTTTTGTGTTATTCATACATCAAGAAACAAAGGTAAAAGGCCAAACAAATCTGATGCTCCTTCGACGATCTCACAACTCTTTACAAAATTTTGCTGCTTCGTAAGTTTTGAGGTTTCATTACGGGACATGACCACCCATCTACTGCACTTCGCCGAAATATGCTACTTCACAAGTTTTGAGGTTTCGTTTTCTTTTTTTAATTTCCGTAGTGTTGTTTGCTTGCTTCAATTTACTTTATTTTTGTTTTAAATTTTACTAGTGTTTGTAAATTCGTCGTGATCCCATCTTGCAGTTCTAATTTTTTGGTTAATTTCTTCCCAACATCTTTGTTGTTGGATCTTTTCCATGCCAATTGCTTAAGGGTAGTTTGATCTGGGAGTGACTTCGATTCCTTGCTGTTGGATAGAATATTTTACAGCTTTCTTATTGCTTGGGTGATTTATTCTTATTAGCTATTTTGTTTATCTGAGGGGATTTGATTTTCTGTGAAGAATCATAAGTTGGTTAGGTTTTTGAATATTCAAGCTTTATTGGGAAAATTTGTGAGAAGTTGCTACATAGAATTCGATCGTATTTTTTTAAGGGTTATTTTAGCAATTAATTTTATTCATAAATATTTACCCCGCATAATAATAAAAATCAATATTATTCTATTTTCTTCTCTTTTAACATTAGTCTTTTAGCAATAATTTATAACAATAGTATTTTATAAATTAAAACCCTTTTTAGTAACCAACTAGGCTTCTTAGTACCCTCAATTCTCTAGCATTTTATTAGTGCATCTTCTGTCTTCTTTGGATTCCTTTTTCATAGTTCCTCATAGCTTCGGCTATAGATGATTACTTGAGGTCATCTCCTTCTTATAGAGACCATATGGTGTATAGGGGGAGGGCTCGACAGAGTGGTGTGAATGAGACTAGACTTAAGAGTTTGTACGTTGAATGTAGGCACATTAAATGCTAGGTTGCTGGAGCTGACCGACGTACTAAGTAATAAGAAAATAGATTTTGCATGTATTCAAGAGACTAGGTGGAAAGGGGCTCGCGCCAGAGAGTGTAATGGTACAAGTTGTGGTATTCAGGTGTAGATAACGCTAGAAATGGAGTAGGTATCTTGGTATCCTTTAGGCTCAAGGAAAATGTAGTTGAAGTTTATAGATACCGTGATAGGATCATGATGATTAATGTTATTATAGATGCGGAAGTGGTGAATGTTCTTTCAGTGTACGCCCCACACGTTAGCCTAGAGGAGGTGGAGAAACGTTGCTTCTGGGACTCGTTAGATGTTGTACTTAGGAGCATTCCAGAGGACCAAAGAGTTTTCATAGGGGGAGACTTCAATGGCCATATAAGTAGTGCAATCGACGGGTATGACAGTGTTCATGGGGGTTTCGGTTTTGGTAATAGGAACGAGGAGGGGCGTACGTTGTTTGAATTCGCTACTGCACACGATATGGTGGTCACTAACTCCTACTTTAACAAGAGAGGTGTTAACTTGATTACATTCTATAGCGGGGGACATTGTACCCAAATCGACTACATCCTGGTTCGAAATCAGGATCGATGGGCTTGCATTGACTGTAAGGTGTTCCCTGAAGAGGCATGTGCATCACAACACAGATTGTTGGTTTTGGTGTTCCGCGTACGCCACGGGCGGAGCACTCATAGGAGGGCTAAACTTAGTAAACCTAGGATCATTTGGAAGAACTTACATGGAGCGACAGCTGATGACTTTAGGTGTAAGGTTTTGTCTCATACAGGTTTTGGAACTACAAACTCAAATAATGCAGATATGTTATGGAAAAATATGGCAAATTCAATCAGAAAGGTTGGCAAAAACATCCTTGGGTTGTCGACAGGGAAGGTCAAGGAATATAAAGAATCGTGGTGGTGGAACGACGAAGTCCAAACTAAGGTGAAGACAAAGCAAACTTGGTTCAGGGAGTTTATACAATGCAGTGATGTCGAAGAAAGATCGAGAGCTAAACAAAGATACAAGGAGGCAAAGCGGGAAGCCAAGAAAACAGTGGCTAAAGAAAATGATAAGGCATACGAGGAAATGTACAAGAGATTAGACACCAGGGAATGACAAAACAGTATCTTCAGGCTTGCAAAATCCAAGGAGAATAGGAAAAAGGATCTAGGTAGCATTAGGTATATTAAGGACAACAATGGTGTTCTTTTAATAAACGACCATGATATAAAGAGGGTTTGGGGTTGTTACTTCTTTGACTTATTTAATGACAGTGCCTCTTCCTGTAGAGATAGTATCGTTGATGGGTCAGCCGACCTTCATACTACGCCAATGACTGCCCTACAAGTAGGATTGAGTTTGAGGAAATGAAAATGGCTCTTAGAAAGATTGGGAGGGACAAAACTGTCGGTCCAGATCAAATCCCTATCACTGTATGGTTGGCCCTAGAAGAAGAGGGAGTTAAGTGGTTGACCAACATCTTTAATATTATTCTAGAGACTGCCAAGATGTCTGAGGAGTGGAGAGAGTCTACGGTGATACTAATATATAAGAATAAAGGAGATCCCCAAAGTTGTGGTAACTACAGATGTATTAAACTACTCAGTCATACCATGAAGTTATGGGAAAGGGTCATAGAGGCAAGGTTGAGACAGGTTACTAGGGTTTCGGAAAGCCAATTTGGCTTATGCCAGGCAGATCTATTACGGAAGTGATTCATCTACTTCGACAGCTTATGGAGAAATATAGGGAAAAATATAAGTATCTTCACATGGCGTTCATTGACCTTGAGAATGCGTATGATAGCGTTCCCCGCGAAATGATTTAGAAAACCTTGGAAACGAGACAGATTACAACTGCTTATATCTGGGCGATTCGTGATATGTACCGTAGATCTACTACATACGTCAAGACTACAGTTGGTGACATCGAGGCATTCCCGGTGGAAATCAGACTCCACCATCATCTCTTAGCCCTTACATCTTCGTCTTGATTATGGACGACATTTATTATGAGGCACCATATGGTGTCCCATGGTGTATGCTTTTCGCTGACGACATTGTCCTTATTGTTGAAACAAAAACTGTGCTGAATAGTAGACTGGCTACCTGGAAAACTGCTTTGGAAGAAAAAGATCTAAGGATCAATATTGAAAAGACAGAGTATTTATGTTTAAACTTCAGTGGGAACCAAAATGATGAAGATGTAGAAGTATGCATAGAAGGACACGTTCTCCCCTCAAAGGATTGTTTCAAATACCTAGGGTCTATGATACATAAAGATGGGGGTATAGATGATGACGTTACACACCGTATAAAGGCGGGATGGCTAAAGTGGAGGGCTGCTACTGGAGTTTTGTGTGACAAGAAGGTGCCTCTAAAACTAAAGGAAAATTTTTATAGAATGGCGATAAGACCAGCGCTACTGTATGAATCAGAATGTTGGGCAATCAAGAAGGATCACGTAAGGAGGATGAAGTCCGCAGAAATGAGAATGCTTCGATGGGCATGTGGTAGGACTCTGTGGGACATGACACCAAACTCTGCAATTAGGATGTCATTGGGGGTGGTGCCTGTATCCGAAAAATTGAGGGAGTGAAGACTACGGTGGTTTGGGCATGTCCTTAGGCGACAACCGTCGGAAGCGGTCAGGAGGGTAGAGTCGATTCCAGTCGACGGTGCCAGAAGAAGAGGACGACCAAGGAGGAAGTAGGTAGACTGCTTGAGAGCTGATTTGAAGGATTTAGCCCTTACCGAGGACATGACCTCTGATAGAAAAGTATGGAGACTTAAGACCAGAGTAGCTGAGTAGTGTGGGTCAAAGCCATTAGGGTGTAGCATCTCTGTCTTCTTTGTAATGCCTTTGTAGTAATTTCCAGGACTTCTACTTTTTATATGTTTCTGTCATTGGATTTTTATGAAGGCTTAGAACTAGGATAGAATAGTAGTGTTGCCTTAGTTTAGGTTTTAACCCATTTGACTTTTTTTCTTATCGTAGCTTGCTATCGCTGACTTCTGGGTACCATTATCTTCATGTTTCCTCTTTTTGAATTTAGTCAAGTCTTATGTTTCTGTCTATATGCAGAGATTTCTACGCATAGATTTATTTGTAGGTATTACTTCACATTACAGACGCACATATGAAGACAACATAAGAAGATTGTTTAACTATGTATTTATATAATTATTTATACATTCATTGTATTGTATCTTTATTTTTAAATTTTCTGACTGCCGGAGGTCTTCCACGGAAGCTGCTCTCAACCTGGCGTTGGGTGCAGCCTACTACACTATCTCCCCCTTACCCCATCGTACATGGGAATAGGGTTTTGTTGTTATTGTTGTTGTTAAGTCAAACTATATCAAAAATACTTATGAATCATGCTTAAATCTATGTACATTTATTTGAAACCGTTGAGTTGTGATATTTTAAATAGAAATTAAATCCAAAATTTTAATCTTCCCATATTATTCACATACAATACTTGTTTTTAAAACATATTCAAACATCTGTTTAAGAACACATATTTATATTTGATATTTCAAATAAAAATAAGTAAAATTTGGTTTTAAAAAAATCAGTACGACTGATTAGTAATTATATGAGGATTGAGGACTTTTTCCCCAACTAGCTAATATTCTAATATTTAACTTCTCGAATAATTTATATTTATATATTTAAGGTCAAAGCTTAATCATCTGAAATCAAACCTACTTGTGAAAGACTCATTTACCCTATAGATTTCAATTTATATTTACTTGAAACAAAGCTAAAAAAAAGCTCTAGTTGGCAACTAGTGAGTCAACTTTCCAAAAAGAGACTAAAAAAGTTTCATCTTATCATTTGATATTTGGTAATACAATCGAAGTTTTACAAAAGATCAATAATACAGCTAAGTTTTACAAAACAAATAAATTATAAAAATATAAATAATATAAACAAAATTCATTGATGAGTTGCTGATTTTTCCAAATTCATCGATATTTGCTCGATCATTGATGCTCAATTTTATGATATCTGTGAAGGATTGAAGTTAACATGGGAATTGAGACTCCAAGCAGTTTTTTTTTTTTTTTTAAACAGATAGTAGATAGGCTTTCTCCACGATTAGATGGGGAGAAGTATCGGGTAGAGATCTTTGGTGGTGCTCATAATCGACTTTACTGGACGTTGTTGAAATTTAGATGTTATATAAGTAGGGATGGGCATAGGTTCGGTTGGATTGGATTTTTGGTCCACTCGATTCGATCCGAGAACAAGGAATCCGAGATCCGACCGAAATAAGATTTAACCTGACCCGAATCCGACCCGATATATAACTTAAAAATCCGACCCGATTCGAAATAATAAAAAATATTATTTTTATTCAAAAAAAAAATATTATTTTTATTCAATAAAAACAATTATTTAATTGAAAAAATATTATATAAAGGGTATTATTGTAATTATTACTAAATATATAAAAAAAATTATTTTTTCGTTTCGGGTCTGGTCGGATATTTTTCACCCTAAACCCGACCCAACCTGAATATTACATTTAAAAAAAATCGACCCGATCCAACCCGAACCCATTTTTTTTAAAATCGACCCGATCAGATCAGATCAGGTCGAATTAGAACCCGTCGGATTCGGGTCTCATGCCTATCCCTATGAATAATCGACTCGCAAGTGCAACAAGATTGCATATGACATAACTTGCTTGGTCTCTTCCATTGAGGTTCCATTCTTTCTATGCTCTCCCTGATGCGATCATTGGCAAATTTGAGTTTGTCTGCTCTAGTATTTGTCTAGTTGATGCTACCATTTGTATTAAAAAAATAAAATAAAAGAAAATTCGTATGATTGTTCAAACATAAATAAATCATCAAGATAAACAAATAAACATTAATTGAAGAAATAATGTAATTTTTTTTATATAGTATGAGATTATTATATAATAATATTCTTTCATAAGTTTTTTTAATCAATTGATAATATACACCATACAGATATAGTTACTCAAATTCAAGACCTTTAAGAAGAACAATACTCTCTTCTATCATTGAAATTATTTAATATATTCAAGACAAAATTAATAATCATTTGATATATTCGAGACAAAATTAATCTTAATTATGAAAAAAGAAAACACGTAATATGAGAAAATAATATGTTACGAAAATAGATAACATTATTTACAAATTTTAACGAAAAGAGAGGAACTCGTTAATTCATTCGAGTGAAAAAATATATAATGGTCTTAATGGATATATTCAACAAATATCCGTGCCCCTCAATTTGAAGCTAAATTAGTTGTGATAATACGCATCGCTTGTATATCGGATTCACTCCTTCCGGTGAAGGAAACTTCTCTAATGGTATCCAATATTGGCTTCCATGACCTCGTCGTCTCCCTTCTCATCCGTCCGCCGTTTACGGCCGATAACGGCCTGGTTCTCATCGACCCATCATGGGATTTAGCTCGAGCCGTAAGCCTCTTCACTACGGACGCCATATAGAGAGGAGAAACGTCGTCTTGTAAGGTCGACCACGGCAGCAGAAAGTAGAGCTGGCCCGGTTGGAGCGGATCATCGGCGTTCAAAGGCTGGAAACAGGCCGACAAAAGCTGAGCGGCGGTGCAGAGATACTGCTTTGGGGGGTTGCCGATGACTTGAGTCGCTGTGATGGGATGCTCAAATTCCTCCACGTATCCATTGAAGTGAACCAGGCGAACTGAGTTCGGAGATGCGTATTTGCAGGAGCAAGAAGAAGATAAACAACACCCCATTTCGTTCTATTTTCTCTCTTCAATCATGTGTTTAGGGGAACGATTTTATATTATATGGATTTGATTAATTAGACATGTTTTCAAGTCATGGATTAGGCTATGCAGCCCAACTAATTCCGATTTATGGTTAAATTATGGTTTTGATCCCTCTTATATTATAATTTTAAGTATTAGTATAATAAGAGACGGGAATAATAATTTAATCAATAAAATATTTTCGAAAATGTGACACTTGATCTTAAATTATATTTTAAAATAGGTATATTCAACAATTTTTTTAAAACTTGTATTTTATTTTAAAAGAAAAAAAACCTCAATACCTACCGATAGTAAATTTAGTACAAAAATGTGTGTTCAAATCCCTCGATAAAGTAAAATAAAAAGTCAATTGATAAATTATTTTTTTATTCTTGTTCTTTTATTATTGTTGTCTTATATACATAAAAGTATATGTTCTAAAGAGTTTCAATCGTTTGATAACAAAAGTTTAAATACTTTTATAGTCTTTGATGCTTGAACCTAAAATTTCTAAAGATAATAACCATCTTTTAAACTAATAAGATAGTTTAGTTCATACCTTTTTTTTTTATCTTTTAAACGTATCTATAAGAAGAAGAAGAAAGAAAAGGAAGTGATCGAAAACAAGTTTGAAGTAGTACATTATGTTATCAATTTGGACGGGAATTATGTGATTGGTTGGTACAATATAATTTTCATAGTTTTAATATAGCAGCCCCTAGAGGCAATTTTCATATGATGTACTCTCTATTATATTTATTTATTAAATTAATTATATTATACATCTTCACCTTTATCTTGAATTAATCTTCAATTTTTTGTAATATAATTATTCTTAAATTATAACCTATATTCTAAATTAATCACAATTCTTTTGAACCTTTTGATTTCATCCTCAAACTATCAATCATGTCTGATGTTAATAAAATTATTATAAAAATTGATATATGTTATGTAATAAATAGTGTAACAAACTACAACTTATATTAGTTTTAATAAAATAACAATTTAATTTTGAAACAAAAACTCATAAACATATTTGAAAAACAAAATAAAAATTAATGATTTAAGAAGACTTGATACAACATTAATTATCATTTATTCAACATAATATTATATAATACACATTAGTATTTACATAACAATTAATAATTTTTTAACAACTTTATTACTAAGAGATGTGATCAACATATTCTAATATTCTAGAGAAGTAATTTAAATGTTTGAATATTAATTTAAAATGGTTGTCATAATTTAACGACAAATAAACAGATAACAAAGTGACACTAACCATCTTAAACTAAAATATAATGAGGTTTTGTGGGGAGAGGACATAAAAGGTGCGAGCATTTTAAAATTAGGCTTCATATTTCCAGAAAAGAGTGCATCAGAGTCTTGTTTTCAAATTTTACACACAAAAAATGAGCCCCCCACTATTCTTTCACATATATAATAATGATGGCAATAGTAATAATGTATTGATTGGCTGAATTTGGGGGGTAAATGGACAAGGAATTACCCATCTGGAAGGAGCCAACACTTACAATTAGCCCGGCCTAATTCAAGTCGATCCTAACTGCTCTACCCGTCATCCTAGGACTCAATAATTGCAGCAGCAGAAACATCGACCATTTACAAAATGTATTATATTCTGTGTGAAACCAAGGATGGAGCGGAAGGATCAAGAAAAACCGACCAAAGAATTCACAGTCAAAAATTCAGGAGCGTCATCAGTTTATCTACCGTTTCGGGATAGAATTTCCTAGCAAATAGGTAACACGGCCGTTTGATACCATTCCAGAGGCAAGGTTGTACCAGTTCTACACTCTGCGAATAACCGGGAAGAAGTGATACTATATTCAGAATCTCATAATTTTACCGAGTCGTGAAAGCATGAGAGAAAGTGTTTGAAATCTATACCTTTGCTTCACTTGTTACATGGATACTCATGTCTATCGACTGCAAAAGGAAATATAATGCAAAATTCATCAAAACCTAAATTCATCAATATTGGCTACCCAAGTCTACTATAGATTCCAATGACGAATAATGCAAGACTTTATCATCATACAAAGGAAACAAACATTCTGAGTGTATCGGTCAAAAGTCGAGGTGGTAAGTTATTAAGCAGCAAGTGGTGTTACTCAAAAATAAAATGACAAACACATACCGTGATATTCTGCAGAAGAGCCTCAGTAACATCCTGAGCCTTATATGACTTAGGGTGCCACTTCCTCTCAGACCAATCAACATGTGTTACAGACCAGTTGGCAATACCTCCAGGATCAATCATCTGATGGTACCCCAAAATTAAAACATTAAGAGAAGCTAAAGTGAAAAGTAGGAAACATGATCCAAAGTGTGATTCTCACACTGAAAAAGGTTGGTAGGTAATGCTCATCTGCAATGCAATTTTTGCCATCGAAACCTGGCTGTAATGATCAAGAATATGAATGACAGCAGGTCAGCAACATATTTTTCTAGTATAATACCATTATAACAAAAAAATATTTTTTTAGAAAAGGCTAGAGTAGGTGCACGAGCCAGTTGAGCCAAGCACTGATAGGCTTGAATTTGGCTAGCATGGCTAGAGCTCGGTAGACAATTACTAAGTCAAGTTCAAGCTTTTTCCAAGCCAAAATTGAGTAGCTCATTAGTATTCTTAACTCTTTTCTTTGAAAAGGGAGTATCTTAACTCATTTACACTCCTAAGAGGAACTAGTTCTGCCCTTGTTATACAGTGTAAGGAACTAAAGAAACCTTGAAATATTACCAGGACAAACCTAAACAGATTAAGTTTATGCCGAGAATAACATCTAACCTGATCTAGTGATCTCAAATTTATATAAATCCAGAGTTCGTAAAAACTCCACTTTCCAAAGTGCTTATTTTATCTTGGGCTCACAGGCAAGCCATTTACATCTGGAAGTGTTGTCTATGTGCTAATGCTAACCGTTAAGATAAGTAAACATTGGTTATGCAAACTGAGAGCAGCCTTACTGAACAAATAGTAGTGAGAATAGAAAAATGTCTATTATATCCCTAAAACGGCTTTAGAATTCAACAATATTAATCGCTCTACATAACAATATTGAAAAACCATTCTGCTATTATAAAATGAACCAACTCTCTCTCATCCATAAATCAAAGGAAGTTCTTGAATATTCAAGAAAAAAAACAGATTATCAAACTATATTTTAAGATCTAATTCACCTTGCAGTAGTCCCTGAACCTCGAGTAGTAAAGACTGTCGGCCATAACTATCAGAGCATGCTGTCGCTTCATTGAGAACCACTGCACAAAATTCAATCATTTATTGCCCCATCAAGCCACTAAATAATTTGGTTTAAAGAGGTATGCTGAATGCTAAGAGACTTTGAAGCTGGACAGGAGATTGAACATTCAAAATGGGAATACACAAATGCATCAACTATAGGGATCGGGGATCAAATTTGACAAATATAGAACACCAGCACAGATGCATTGGCTTCATATTGTCATAATAGTTCAGTGTAATAAAGTTCATCAACATGTCCCAGCTACAGATTATCATTCAGATTGATCTATTTTAGTGTATATCTATATAAATAATAATGGCTTTATATCATATCAATTCAGGCATACCTGTGCACCTTTTCTGAAGTCTTTCTTTTCTACTTCAGGTAACATGTGATCTGAATACCTGCCATTTCCATGCGGTCCAGGATCCAAAAAGCTGGGGGGGGCACGACATGTCAAACAACGGAAAACAGTGCTCTGAGTTTCTTCCATTCACTCTTAAAATTTTACTTACCAGTCAACAAAACTCATATTAGCATGCATCAGATAGTCATAGACATAGTCAAAACTATGCAACGGAACACAGCTGCAATATCACAATTTGGTGTTAGTCTAAAGAAATCCTTTGGGGTTGGAGAGAGGGCAAAAGCGATACTATATTTACCTATCAGAAAGTAACACAAAATGTTGGTTATCGGGATCTTCCAGAGCACGTGCCAATAATCGTCTCTCTGCATCAACCATAGAAAATTTCCCCCATACAACCTGCAACCTCCATAGATCCAAGGATTACCAGACATGATAGCAACATATCAAAATGCCAACACAAACAAGAAAAAAGTAATAATCATGTCAACAGAAAAAGATGAATTACTATATAATAATAGTTGTAATTGACAAACGGCATTCTAGGATTACAAAGGTTGACTAAAATTTTGAAATTAAAAATAACATGCATTCCAGCACCTAACTAGATAAGAATTGCACCTAATAGTTGGATGTAAAATTATGCATATATAATTACTAATGATCTTTAATATGAAACTTGGGTGATATGGTAAGAGCTACACCAATGTCTTTGGGTTTGTGTTCGGAGAGATCTTCCTACACTAAAAATAAGCTGGGCCATGAACTATGACAGGACAGGACTCATAAAGCAGAAACATGAACAGAGACAGGCTCTTGATGCTTCAGACAAGGAAGTATACAGAGCAGTCTACCCCTTTCCCTCTGACATACTAAAATCAAGGTGTTGCCTATCAGGGGAGTCATTTTCAAGTTCACGGTGGATGAATCACAGTATATTTTCTAATGAGCATTGTAAAATTGAGATATTTTGCACGTGACTCAAACGGAAAGGTAATTCCAGTATAAAAAATATCATATCAGAGGGTAAAAAATGGAAAAGGAAGAGATAAATATCGACCAATAAGCAAATTAATCTAAGTTACTGACCTCACGACTGCGAGTTTCCCGGTTAAGAAAGTAACGGCTCACATGAACTGTTTTTTCTTTCGATGCATGGACATAAACCGAAAATTTTCCCTCATGCCCCTGCCAGAAAAAAACAAGAAAATGTTTAACAAAGATACAGGGTTAATAAAATCTAAAAGTTAACTAAAAGCCACGAATGCAGAAAAAATAAAGCAGATAATTATCATCGTTCCTTTCTCCAATGAACTAAACAGAAAAGTACGAAGTAAGCAGACAGTCGAACATAAACGTTATTGACACAAACATCTTGATGCATACAAAGCAAAGGAATATGCCGAATTCCATCTCCAGAGAAGCAATTGTATCAATTCATAATATTCCCGATTGATATCACAAGTATCTTCACCATATACATTAGCCCATATTTGCATCCACAATCAACATAGGAAGTGATGTTCACTAGAATGAAATGCATAAGACCCGCATTTAGTATAAGAAAATTTCCTGACACAAAAACTAATTAGAACACTCCATGTTTCCTACACCAAAAATGGTATAGGTACTATAAGTTTTAATTAGTTCAAACAGATTAAAATGTCTACTCCAGGAGTTGAGAAGCAATGCAACCTTTCCTTTTGACCAGCGTTTCTGAATGGAATACCATAAATATAAAGCTCCAGTCTCTCGTCCAACTCAACATTTAATTTTCCACTTCTAAAACTAATGCATGATCTGAAATGGTTCTTAATTTTCATCCTGAGCTTAAGCATTTCAAATATTGGCAATAACTTACAAATATGAAAGCTGCATTTTTATGCAGCACAAACAACAACTATGACAAAAGGCCCTTTTATTACAATTCTCTAATATCATAATCTTTTTGTTATTAATCTAGATCATTGTATTTATATTTATGGTCTCAAAGCAAGTAGACTACCTTGAGTTGCACATACACTGCATTGGACTAAGCTAAGCTAAATAAAGAAAAATAAACAAAGGGTAGACCATTTTTTAATTAAAAAAAGCCAGTTAAAAATGACTCTTCATGAATTTGCCTAGATATTCCTGAAAAGTTGAAACTGTGCGATGAGTTTTTTCTTATATATGAAATCTTAAGAAGTATTATAAATACGTCCCTTATCCATTTAAACATAGGATCCACTCATATGATAGTTCATATCTGCCCCACTATCTACAGCATCAAGGTGTGAGAAATCTCCAGTTGTCAATATCATTTTTTGACAGAATAAACTAATAAATCTCCAGAAAATGGCTTGAAACCATAATTTTAAAAAATGAAAATCATGAAGAAAGAGTCCAAACTATCTAAGAGTTCTAGTTAAACTGGTAGAGTGCTCTAAAAGAAAAAACCATCTCATCCCTCTATTACCTAATGGTACAGATAAAAAATATTCCCTTTAAACCTGGAGTTCTTGCTTCTCCCCTATTAACACTATGATCCAGGCCCAAACTTGTAGGTTTACCCACCTGGTATAAATGCACACGATATGGCTATATAAAACATTTCTCCTGTATGTCCCTTGCCACTCATTCAAGTATTTCTTAAACAATAAATCGCTGCACTTTTGAATCTACACCGACAAAGATTCATTAAAAAAATAAACAAAACATATCAGTTCAGACAATAAACTATAACACAAAACAGGCAGGGTACTTGAAGCCAGTAGACAAAAGATGTGATTCTTTCTTAGCAAACATCTGTTACATGGTAGATTTCATATATGAACCAACTAACCTTGTTGGACATGAAACAAACCTTGAACAAATTTCTTCACAATAAAGTACATGAAAGCCAAAATCAAGAATGATAATCATGATATTAAATGGGATAAGAAAATATCCATGAAGAATATGATGACATAAGAAAGGAAGTCTGAAAATGTAATAACTTACACGGAAGAACATATCCCAAAGCTTCTCGAAAGGAAGTGAACTTGGAGTTAAGAACATGAATGCAATTTTAGACTTTTCAGATATAACAGTAGGAATATTCAAAATATCTCTAATCACAACTTGTGATGCAATCTCCTCATCACTTGATTCCCTTGTAGGTGAGGGTGGAAGCCAATTAGTAAGGACCTTGCAACCTCTAGAAGAAAATACATAACAAGCAGCACTGCCTTGCGGTGGATAGATGTAAGCACAAACTAGAAAAAGGCTAACTAAAGAAACGAAGAAAATAATCCATATTGGCCTCTTCAATGGAGGGCGGTGGCGAGATCCAGGCAAGATTTGCAGATCACCCATGCTGCCTGGTCGCCACGCCTGAGCTCCCTTCATCTAGTACAAACACCACAACTTTATATTCATACAATTATCTCTGTTTCCAAGTTCTCTAAACGGATATGAAAGTTACAATTCAACAACCAACCACAGGTTCTCCAATCCGTCAATTGAGTGTGATCTGAGAAAGGGAACCACAGGGGAAAGCATTAGAAATACTAAGTTTGTGAAACAAAATATCTGTGAGACATAAAACAAAATTTGGTCGAAGGCTGAAATACCAAGAACAGCAAAAAAAAAAACCGATCAAATCCTTAGCCCTAAAACTTCGGTAATGAAAATATAATTAAAACAAATTAAATAAACCCCGCAAAGTCAAGCTTATGTTCTATGCGTTTCAAAATAAACAAAAAACCAGAATACAAGTTTTACCGTTCTTTTAGTGGGTAATAATCAAACCGCTCAAGAGCGAAAATTCTTCCAACTGATTCGACACAGATAGCAATAATTTAAGAAAGAAATGCAAAGTTCTGGATTTGCCTAATTACTAAAATCAAACACAGTCAGCTTCCTTCCAAGAATTTCTACAAAAAATAAATAAATAAGGAGAAACGTGTCGCAACAAAAAGTCAACATCAATCGACGGCTTCGCTGCTCCAGCACACCAAAAGGATTCGACTAATTCAAATCTAACAAAAGAACATTTTCACACTAAATTTCCCTCCACAGTCAATACCTCCCTCCCACTGGAAAGAACCATAAAGAACGAAACAGGGAAACAGATGAATGGAGAAGAAAAAAGTAAACAGTGGGACAAGGCAGCAACTGGAATAAATCAAGAAGACAGTTACCTGATGAATGGAGGAGATCAAAGAAAATTGAAGGAAATCTTAAAATTTCCGGGTTTTTCGAAGATGGATACAAAAAGACTAAGATCTAGGGCAGGCCAAGCATGTACCAAGAAACAGGGAAACAGATTTGTATTGGATATATTTATATATAATGGAAAAATAAGAGAAGAAACAATAATAATCTGTGTAAAATGGGTTTTTGATTCTTGAAAAGGATTCGTGTGTCTGTAAAATGGGCTGTTTTTGTTTATCAAATAGAGAGAGAACAGTAAGATAGGGGTCAAAGAAAGCAGTGGAGGCTGGTTAGAATTTTCATTTTTTTAATTTTTATTCAGATAATTGGCTCCAAAATGAAACAAACGAAGCCGGCGATTTAATTTTTAATTATTATTAATACAATTTAATTTATTATTGTGTTTATAACATAGTAATCAGGACCATTGAAACAATGAAATTTATTCGATATTTGTTTTGATCCCATCTATTAGAATATTTTTAATTTTATTGATACCTCCATTGACTCTTATAGTTATTGTTTTTAATTTTAAATATATTTCTATTAATTTTTATGTGCGAATTATTTAAAATTAAGGTACTTAAGTTTTATCTAAATTAAATTTTTCGGATAAAATTGAAGTAATGAAAGAAAATTGAAATTAAAAGGTGATGAGAAGTTAAAAGTATATTAGGCTACTGATTAACCAATTTTTTAAGTTGGTCTAAATTATTGTATGTTAAAATTATAAATACAATTATAATTATAGTTATAATAAATATTTGAATATCATAATTTATAATTCAATTGAGAACAAAAAATGACAAATATCTACTAGTATAATAAATATGAACAATATTTAACTATTATTATTCTATTAATTTTTTATAGAATCGTCTCCAACAATGATTTTGATACGGTAGATTGGATTATTGTTATTTTTATGTTTTTATTAGGGTTGTAAATGAGTCAAGTTAAACTCAATATAGTTAAGTTTGATTTAGTTTGAAAAGTATAAAATTGAACTCGACTCAATTTAAAAATTCAAGAGTTTAAAATTATCGAGGTTGACTTGAACTTGAAATAAAATATTGAAGTACGACTCAAACTCAAACTCAAAAAAATTAGAACTCGAAATATACTTAGACTTAGCTTAGTTGAAGCTCAAACTAGAACTTGAACCTGAACTTTAAGTACATGAAATTTTTATATTATATATATATATTTAAAAATAATATATATATATTTAAAAATAACATATAAATATAAATATTATAAATAATTTAATTTAAAAAATCTAATATATTATTTTTTGAGTTACTCACAAATTTTTCGAGTTAAGTATAAATTTTTATATTTACTGGGATGTGCTATTTTTACTCTCTTTTTTTTTTAAATAAAATCCAGCACTTTTGTTAGACAAATAACAAAACATAAAACTGATTATTTTGGTTATTTAATTATGCTGAGAAATTATAAATCATTTGAATAATTATATTTAGACCGGACATATTCAACTTTAAAAATATATTAAAAATTATAATCATTGTCAATAGGGGTAGTGTTCAAACTAGTTCTCTTCCATTCAAAATCAACTAATAATAATGTTGCAAGAAAAAATAAAATAAAAGGCTTATTATTATAAGCGTAATATACCCGGTTTACACAAGCTACGAATTTTCCAAATCGGCATATTTGACTTGGTCTAATCGTGAAACCATGACTATTCACCAAATTATAGTTATTCTGCTCGTTCCATTACTGATTATAAAACTTTAGGGTAAACTATACATTTAGTATATAAACTATTAGTTTTGATTTATTTTAGTACTTAAATTTTTATTTTTTAAAAAATAATACCTAACGTTTAGTTTTTATTTCATTTTAGAACTCGACCGTTAATAATTTAATATATGGGTTGACAATACATAGCTCTGGTGGATAGACGACCAATCCAAATAGTGGATCACAACAAAATAACGAGTCGACCAACGTATTTTAGTTTCAAGTCTATCGGATGGTGGACCATGGAGATTGGAGGATGAAGAAATCGAAGAGTACATCATTGATTTAGAGAGATTTAGATGTTTCCCGGTGAAACGGAGGTCGAAATAGCATTCAAGGGATTGAAAAGATGCATGCTGGAAAGTTTAAGCTTCATTAGTCGAAGGATACGACAGTCGGCTATTGTAGACGCAGCAGCCAACGAGCCCGTTCGTTAAATTTTTAACGGTGGGTATTAAAATGAATAAAAACTAAACGCTATGTATGATTTTGAAAAAAATAAAAATTTAAGTATTGACATGGACCAATACTAATAATTTAGGTACTAAACTCGTAACTTATCTAAAATTTTAAGAATATTCTGTCCACAAGCTGAAGATATCCTTCCTCGGGACAGATTTCAAATGAATACATCTTTAAGGAGTTGTCTCTATTATTTAACAGTCATGTGTTGGAACAAGTTTGAAACATTTAACAATTGGATGTAGATCGGATATAGATTAAAAAAAGAATTATTACAAGATAAGGGGCCAATTGGCTGGTTCAATTCACTTGGAAATAACGGTAATCCGGAACCAGGCATGAAGTTGGGGAAACACTCACGGGCGGCGTCTTAGTATACGATTAAAATAAAGTGTTATATTTTATTATTATTTTAAATAATAAAGCCAGTAAAAAATACCGAAAACATCATAATTTTAACCGATTTTAATTACTTATATAAATAAACACGGTAAAAAAATCGATCAAAATAATAATATTTTCAGTCATTTTTTTATCAGTTTTATTATTTAAAATAATAACAAAACCAATAACACTTTATTTTAACTATATACTAAAGCGCCGCACTACATATCTCCCTTGAAGTTGAGGAGTAAGTCTCGCGTCCGTTTAGATGGGGTCAGATCCAGAGAGATTGCTCCGATATAAACATATGTGCGTGTTCATATTTAGGGTAAGTTACACAATTAGCCATTATATCTCAAATCGTGTATCAGTTTTGTTATTAAATTTTCAAAACTATTATTTTAGGCATTGAATTTTAATTTGAGGTTCAACTAGGGCCTTGAATCTTTAAGTTTAAAATGACATTACATGGAAGCCAAAATCTATTTCTTTATCCTACGTCATCTTTATAAGAAAAATGATTTTATTTTGCTCATCTTTATAAGTAGTAGAAAATCTTTTGTGGTCATCCTATACACTAATAAACTCATAAAATCTCTTTAAAACTCATGAAATCAAACACACAAAATTATCATTTTAGAGGGTTTGAGGGACTTTTTCGAATTTGATAAGGTTGTGGTGTTTGTTCGAAAATTTGAACAATAAGAAATGTTTTTTTGAAAAGACAAATAACATTCTTTAAAACTACCATCATCAGACAACCATCAAAACATATCAAAACATTTGAACATTAAGCTTTTAGATTATTTTTCATCGATTTTGAGTGAGTTCTATAGAAAATTAAACCCAAAAGAAAAGATACGAGTGAAACTTAAAAATGTTATATCAATGGATCTTACTTACTATATATTATTTTCACTCATCCAACAGTCATAAATCTATATAAATCTAAAATAGTTTTACATTGTGTAACATAATCATATCCTATATGCGTATAATTTTTATTAAAAAAAATCCCATTGCATAAAATTCCCTTCCCTTTTTCAATTTTCTTCTTCCACGATTCTAATGAAAATAATCTCTTTGATTGCAAATATGAAAATATTAATTAAATTTTCTTTAATCCATTTACTAAAGTAATGAAAAAATAGATTAAAGAAGTAAATTTGGTAGAATATTTCGCTGCTTATCTTGTTGGAATGGTTTACCATTGGTAGAGCCTAGAAGTATGCTTGCTTTGATATTTCTGCGACAAATTGAGCTCCGGCCTGTTTAGTTCCAATGGTATGATTGAATTAATGCCCGACAACAAAACTCAGATTCTCCGGATGTTTTGATATCAGAATCAAATGGAAAATAAGTTAATATTAAATCAAAATGTAAAAAAAAAAAAGCACGTGAAGAATGTTTTGGTAAAAGATTATATATACAGTAATCGGAAATGTCTAATAAAAATCAGTCTAATTTAAGGTTAAAGAAAGGCGCAACCGAAGATGTTGAACTTATTTTTTAATATTTTCGGTTAAGCGTAATCTAAAATGTTAATTTTTTAAATATTTTTACAACCTAAAATGTTAATTTTTTTAACATATTTGATTGCAACCGAAAATATTATGAAGAATGTAACATTTCCGATAACAATCGGAAATGTAAAAAAATTGACATTTTAGACTACGAAGATATTAAAAAGAATAACATTTTAAGTTGCGCTCAACCGAAAACGTTAAAGAATAAATTAACATTTCCGGTTGCGTCTTTTCTTATTCTTAAATTAGCCTGCCGTACTGAAATAATATATGGTATTAAAATCGTGGTTCATCTAACATGTGAAAATAGAGAATGAAACTGAGCCCGAACAACTCACAGTTAGATCACATATATGAAAAAACGTGAGTGAGGGGCGGCAAGTCATCCTTGGCTCAGACCCATTCCCCATCTTCTTCATGCAAGATACTTCCACGACAAGATGAATAGCAAAAGAAACTCTAACTTCAACCCGTAAACGATCATATGTGTTGTGTTTTGTTGGCGTTGCTGTAAATATTTATATAGGGAAGAGATGGGGATGGAGTTTGACTATTGTGGGAAAAATGGAGGAATATGACCACGTTCCGATCAAGAATAATTAATCCACTCCATGGAATAGAATCTTCATTTTACCTTTTTATCTGTTATCAGTTGACCCTTGTGGAAACTCAAGGAGCACCAATCAACTTCCTCGAATAGCACCTTCCATATTTTTTTTTCAAAAATAAAAACAGTAAAGGACACTCTAGTTTGAATGCCATATGATTTGGTCCTACAAAGAAGACGACGATTCGAGTATTGTGGTACGAATGGAAAATTTTATGTTGGAGAATAAATTTATATTTTTTAAAAAAAATATATATATTTATAAAATTTTAAGGGTAAAAAACAATTTTTTAATAGAAAATATAAAATAAAAATATATTTAAAATATAAAAAAATTTACAACGCTCGTTAAACGTGGATGAGCTGTATTAACGATGAGTTCCATTAAATTAATTTATAAAACATTAAATTATAAAATATTAAACATATAATTATAAATTAGTTA